TCTTTTGAGCTGTTTATAGGTTTGGCAATTTGTTAAAAAAATGTTTTTTAATTGAAATATAAATTTTTATCCTTTCCTGACCCCTCTGGAATTGGAAAGTATTTGTGAGCATTCTTATTTTTTGGCAGGATGGTTATTTATTTATTTATTTATTTTGGAGAGATTTTCACTATAGGGCGCGTGCGCTCGCCAGACAGACAGAGAGAGACATAGAGGCAGAAAGCGAGAAATCACCCCCCAGGGGGGATGGTCAAGCCACAATCCCTTCTCCTCCATTCTCCTCTCGGGATCTTGGGCATGCACGCACACGCACCCGGCGTGAGTTTTAAGCCACGGGGTCCGGGACGCGAACCGCGGTCGACTACATGGGAATCCAGCGACATAGCCATTACACTAACTGCTGGTTCCCGCAGGATGGTTATTTGCATAAGCTCAATAATATCCGTTCCCTTGTATCAGAAATTGAAAATATTGGTTATTTGCAGGGCTTTGACTGGAATATCATATCTGAAGATATGACCAGAAAGCTAAGGAACTAAGGTAGATTTCAAGAAAGCTAACAGAAGCTCTTGGAAAGATTTGCCTGGTACCATAAACAGTTCGCTGGCAGGTAAGTAAATAATGTCACTTCCTTACAGGCCCAAAAAACTCCCAAGTACAGGTACTTAAAGGCACAGTCACATGGTGAATTCCTCACTTGGCTCAGTAGTCTTTTTAAAGAGTCTAATCTGGGGTTCCTTATAAAAGGTTCCAGCAAAGCCAACTAAATCAATGAGTATTCTTAGGGGACTTTGTGCAAATAACAGACCCAATTGAGACTAACTTTTTTTTTTTTTTTCAAATAAGTTAGTTTATACCTCTCTTTAGTAAAAGGGGAATGGAGAGAGAGAGAAAAAATGTTTCAGAAGCAAAGTACAGTGAACTTGTTACTAGATTTTAAGCTTTGTCTATGTCTGTTTTTTGAGTTTTTATTATCTACCTATTGTTTGAACAGAATCCTAATGTTTTTAGGGATGGCGATGCCACAATCCCTTCTTCTCCATTCTCCTCTTGGGATTTTGGGCACACACATACACGTGCCCAGTGTGAGTTTCAAGCTGCTGGATCTGGAACTGAAACCACACGGTTGTCCACGTGGGATCTGGCCTCAACTTCTGTGCCACTGCTGGCCCTAATGGCTGCTTTACAAGACACCTGTGTCTTCTACTCAGTAAGGTGGCTCCAAGCAAAATCCACATTATCTTGAAACACTTACCTACCATCACAGACGTGGAGTCATCTTTAGCAAGATCTTATTAGGTCATTGGGAAAGTCATGACATTTTTTTCTATGTAAAAAATGCATCCATGACGTTTCTGACAACCCAATATTTTAATCCATTCTAACTCGAATACTGAGTGCCTCCTTTATGCCTGTCACAGTGCTAGTACCGGGAATTCACGATAAAGAAAGAAAACAGGGGCCAGCAGGTGGCACAGTGATTAAGGCCTAGACTTCCACATGGCTGACTGTGGTTCGAGTCCCTGACCCAGTGGCTCAAAACACATGCCAGCCATATGTGCGTGTATGCTCCAAATCCTGAGTAAAGAAGGAAGGAGAAGGGATTGTAGCATGGTGATCTACATGGGGATTGACTTCTCTCTTTCTGGCAAACACATGTGCCCTAATAGCAAAAATCTCTCTCAAAAAAACCCAGAAATTTATGCTCTCAAGAAACTTATAATCCACTTGAGCATTTAAGTGTGTGTGTGTGTGTGTGTGTGTGTGTTGATCATGTTTTCTTAAATCAGTGCTTTTGTAAATGTAGACAAAAAGGAATGAGATTAATGTTTCTTTTAAAAAAATTTTTACCAGAGATTGTGTGCACTCAATAGAGATACAGAGAGAGGGGGAAAGCAGAAGGCACCCCTCCAGCTCTCCCTCCTTTTGGAACTTTAGGCACGCACACACAAGTAAGTGTCCAGAGTGTTTAGGGGAAAATATGGAAGATCATTTGGGGGAAATAGGCCCAAGTTACCAACGATCCTGAAAACGATGGATGCAAAAACACTGTCTTAGTGGTTTGATTGCAGTTTCATACGAGAAACGCCTTGTAATTTTTGAAGATGATCCACCAATCTGGAAAACCACTTAGTGATGTTTCTGAATACTACCGGTCTTATATGCCTGCAATCATCAAAAGATTATTTATTAAATTGTACAAAAACTTTTTTTTTTTCTTTTGAGAGGTTTTGCTATAGGGCACATGTGCTCGCCAGAAAGACACAGAGAGAAATAGAGAGACAGAAAGCGAGAAACACCCCCCCCACACATACAGGGGATGGCCACGCCATAATCCCTTTTCTTCCATTCTCCTCTCAGGATCTTGGGTACGCACGCACACACGCCCAGCGTGAGTTTAAGCCACCAGGTCCGGGACTTGAACCGCAGTTGACTACATGGGAGTCCAGCGACATAGCCATTACATCAACTGCTGGTCCCACAAAAACATTTTTAAAAATTCTGTAGTCTCGAGTTGCAGATAAAAATGTCTGAGGGCCCCTTCTCAAGAATACCTGTTTGGGCCATATGTATAAAGGGGTACCTATCCATCAAAGAAGATGAGTATTTTGTTTGTAAAACATTGCTTCTTTCATGTTATAATTGTCATTTATTTATTTTTTTTTTTTTATTTTGGAGAGATTTTCACTGTAGGGTGCGTGCGCTCGCCAGACAGACAGAGAGAAACATAGAGACAGAAAGCGAGAAATCACCCCCCAGGGGGGATGGTCACGCCGCAATCCCTTCTCCTCCATTCTCCTCTCGGGATCTTGGGCACGCACGCACACGCGCCCGGCGTGAGTTTTAAGCCGCCGGGTCCGGGACACGAACCGCGGTCGACTACGTGGGAGTCCAGCGACATAGCCATTACGCTAACTGCTGGTTCCCGATTGTCATTTCTTTTGAAACAATGACATCCATCATTCTAAAAACATCATGAAGATTTATTCATGTTATTCAATTTTATTCAAAATACTTGATTCTTAAGTGTTCTATCTTATGGGACCAGCAGATGGCATAGTGGTTACGTTGCTGGACTCCCATATGGCTGACCACAGTTCGAGCCCTAGACCTGGTGGCTTTAAACTCACACTGGGCACATGTGCATGCATGTCCATGATCCCAGGAAGAGAATGGAAGAGAAGGGACAGGGGTGTGGTCATCCCCGCAGGGTGTGATTTCTCATCTTCCCTTTCACTGTCTCTCTCTCCCTGGTGAGCACATGTGCGCTAAGGCAAAAACCTCTTTTAAAAAAAAAAAAAGATTTTCATCTTATATACCAGCATTTTTTTGTTTGCTTAAAGATGTTTGCCATAAGGCACATATGCTTGCCAGAGAGACACAGAGAGAGAGAGAGAGGGAAAGTGAGAAATATCCTCCCAGAGGGAATGGCCATGCCACAATCCCCTCCCTGCCATTCTCCTCTTAGGATTTTGGGCATGCACACACAATGCACCCAGCATGGTTTTCAAGCCACAGGGTCTGAGACTTGAACTGTGATCAACCATGAGGGAGTCCAGGGCCTTAACCACACCACCTGCTGCTCCCATACCCACATATCGAAGCTAAACATAGTAAAACAAATTTTCATTGATCCTATCTTTCAAAAGCTCTTGTGCATAATGGAATTGTAGTCTAAAAGCTTCTTGCTAAAGGAGACAATAGCAATTTCATACAAGTAATGCCTTGTAATTTTCAAAGATGATTCCCCAATCTGGAAAACCACGATGACTGTGATGTTTCTGAATATTACAGCATTGCATCGGATTTGACACTCACTCCCGGAACTGCCTAACCATGTGGCCTTCAGCAGGTCAGTTTTGCAAAGCCTCAGTTTCCTTAACTCTCTAAGAGAGGGAAAATGGTCTCTACCTCATAGAGCTGCGGAGAGGATTAGATGAAACTGAACTAGCCTTGCACACACGGTACACGCAGTGACCACTTCGATTGTCTGCTTAGCATGTGCGGGGGAGGGGAGGGAGGTTGGCTTCTTCCCATCTTATTGTTTGGGTTCTGAACCAGGAAACTAGGGAATTGGCTCTGCCACACACTGGCTGTATAACTCTGGGCAAGTCAACTTCCTTCCTTCCTTTTTTAAAAGTCTCTTTCCTCATTTATTAAAACAGGAGACAAAAAGCCAACATATACCGAACACCCACGGACTGATCGTGCTTATGTGTGATATTAATTTATTCCTCCATTTACACACCGAGGAGTTGACACTCAGGGAGGTTAAACACTTGCCTAAGGGCACACAGCAAGTACTCAGCAGGCCAGCACTCAGGTCCCGGCAGCCTGACTCTAAGGCCAGGTGTGGGGCCATGAAATGTGGCCACTTACATAAATGCTGAGTGTCACAAACATGATGTTGGGGGACCAGCAGTTAGCATAATGGCTATGTTGCCGGACTCCCATATAGTCGACCGTGGTTCAAGTCCCGGACCCTGTGGCTTAAACTCACATTGGACGCATGTGTGTGTGTGTGTGTGCCCAAGATCCCTAGAGGAGAATGGAAGAGAAGGGATTGCCATGTGGCCGTCCCCCTGGGGGGTGATTTCTCACTTTCTATCTCTCTGTCTCTCTCTGTCGTTCCGGCTAGCACACACGCCCTCTAGCAAAAACCTCTCAAAAAAAAACAAAACAAAACAAAACAAAAACGTGATGTCGGCATTACTGTGTCTCGGGGACCTTAGTGACGTGCTTGACCCCTCCCATTTTACACGTAGCGGACATGAAGGTTTATGCAGGATAAGGAACTTACAGGGTCACACATCTAAGTGGCCTAGATGGCCCGAGAACCCAGGCCTCAGGACGAGGCCTTGAACTCTCAATTTGCTTGCAGGTGATGGTTTAGCCCTGGATTGATCACAGCCGTGATGTTCATATCTATGCATGTCGTAGTCCATTTGGGCTGCCGTAACAAAATACCATAGGCTGATGGCTTAAGAAGGACAGAAATTTATTTCTCCTGGTGCTGGAGGCCAGACGACTGTGACCAGGGTGCCGTTATGGTTGGGTTCTGGTGACAGCCCTCTTCCAGGCGGGAGACCGCCGATTTCTCCTTGTACTCTCACATGGCAGGAGGAGGGTGGGAAAGCTCTCCTGGGTCTCTTTGATAAGGGCACTCATCTTACTGGGGGGGGGGCACTCATTACTAATGACCTTTCAAAGACCCCACCTCCAAATACCATCACAATGGGGTCAGATTTCAGTATGTGAATAGGGGGGAGGGGGCATGAACATTTATATCATTGCAACTTGGTCACCTAGGGGAGTTGGCTCCAGTAACTCAGTTGCCAGGGTTTTCATCAGCTCCTGCCAGTAGCCGACGGGTAGGCACCAGGAGTCAGAAGGAATCTCCCATTGAAGGGGAAAACCTGGCGGTAGCACCACTCAGTGGCTGGGACACCACTTTTTCAGGAGCATAGGGAAGAGGAAATCAGGGTCCGCTGGGAAGAAACTACTCTGAGTGGCTTTGGGTTTTCAGCTCTGAGTGAGGGTGTCACAAAGCACAACCAAATGACAAAAAGAGAAATTGCCTCTGGATAGTTGGTAAAGATAGAGCTTTAAATTCACCTGGGGCCTCCTCATCACCAGGAGTCTCAGCCTTTACGGGGCCGTGGGTGCCGGTGTGGGACTGGCAAAGAGGAGAGAAAGAAGACAAGGGGGTGGGGATGCCCCAAGTGTCGTTCTAGGAGAAGCGGATCTTCAGGTTCAAAGTGTTCCTAGCTTTCTTCTTCTGGACAGCGCTCATTACATCATGGGATAAGCGATGACAAAATAGTTAAGCTCTGAATCGATCAACTTTCGGTACTTCCTGAAAATTTCTCGCAGGGTCCGGTCCTCTTCATTCGTCTCATATCTGTTTGTATAAATTCTCACCTGTACCAACACACAGAGTGATTACCTCAGTCAGGACCTGAACAGTGTCCAAATGATCTACAGAATTGTTGCCAGATGCAGAAAAAGTCCAAATGCAACTACTGAGGAGGAACACTCCAAGTGCCCTTCAGGGAGGTGGTTAATTTCCGATGGACAGCTCAGGCGATGTGACCGACACCACTTCCTGCATCTCCAATCCCCGTCCGAGAGGACAGCCCTGTCACGGTGGCTGGACGCCCCTGCTCTATCCCCATGGACCCAGCCTGGGGGGCTCTTACCTTGATCGTGCGCAGGGCACACTGCCCCTCCTCCAGGCTCTTCAAGATTCGCTCGACAAACCTCACATCGAGGAAAGCCCAGACTTTGAAGTAAAACAACTTCCTGCAGGATAAGATGAGGAGGTGCAGCTCCTCGTCGAGTGACTCATGGTTGTTGTTAAGCTCAAAAGTTAATTTCTGGAAGAGCACCAAAGGCAGGGGTGTGAGGGCAGAGCTCCTGGGGCTGGCTGGGTCCTCTCCTGACACCTCCATGACCTGGCTTTGGGCCCGACAGCCATGGTGGTTTGGGGGCTTTATGGATCAAGGACACTGGACATGTAGCTCTCAGAGTAAGCAGTGATGGTGATCTCAGCTAAGTTTGCAAAACTTGGATTTGGAGGCCCAGGACTGAGGTGCTGCCCCCAGCTCTGCCGTGGACTGGCTGGGCAACCCTGGGCAGGCCCCAGACCCTTACGTTCTTCTGTAACATGAGGAGGTCATGATGATGTCTGCCCTGCCTAGCTCGGGGTAGTGTCCAGCGCCAGCCAGGTGTTAGTAGTGTGTGTTCTTTTGTTGCTGTTATTTGTTTAATAACAGCATGCATGCAACACACGCACAAGAGAAAAAGCACCCTTGACTGAGCTCCGTCACATACTGATTCCCCTTCCCTAACCCTCCAGGTCTTTAGGATCCCAGGATGCCCCTCACCCCACACACCGGCTGACCCAGGATCTGAACCACGCTCACCAGCTGACTTCGGTCTTTTAGAGACCTTTATTACCACTGTGCCACAGCAGTTGAGTGAGTAGAGGTATTTATACCTGTTGCTATCCATCGTTAGAACTATTGCTGGGTCCTTGGAAGGGACTAATGATCTAGACTTGATAGACGGGAAAGCTGCAAGATTAGGGAATAGCCAGAGCCTCTGCGTTTAGCAGGTGCCTAAGTCAATGCTGGCTTTTTGTCGTTTTGGTCCTCTGCGTTCTGTCTTCCCAATTACCAAGCACTGCTGGAACCAGACAGTTCCCGGCTTAGAGCTGACTGTGGAAGCCACAGTGTCTCCTGCGTGCTGCTGTGACCGCTTGCTATTCACATGCGGGCACTTTCTGGCTGAGGTACCTGCTCTGATGGCCAACCAGAAAATTGCTTGTGTTCCCCATGTGGAAAGCGAGCACAACTTTTGTCATCTGCTGTGGTCTAAGGGGGAGGGAAAGCTTAGTGTCGTAACATGTTCTAGAACCTCAGTTGGAAATGGAGTGTGTGTGTGTGTGTGTGAGACAGAGAGAGAGAGAGAAAGAGAGAGAGATCAGCCAAGAGTGGGGCAGCGGCGGGCTCATCTTGCCCTCGATGCCAGAGTGGCCTGGCAGCTTTGGTCTTGGGGCTGGTTGACTTTTCTCTTTCTTCGTCCATCAAGGATCTGGGTGGTACTGCACAGCTGTGTGATAGGCAGGACTTCCAACAAGGAGGGAAGGAGAGCAAGGAAGGAAAGGGAGGAGGGAAGGAGGAAGGAGGGGCCTACCTGCAGAGTGTGCCGGAAGGTGGGCAGGAGATCCATCAGGGTGGGCCGCATTGACCAGTCGGGGTCACTGAAATAGCAGCTTCTCAGACTGATGCTCCTGATCGGGATCTCCTGCAGGAGGATCCGGGCCAAGCGCTCGTACTTCATGACTCGCTCGAAGAAGAAGTTCACCTTCAGGTTGGTGGCCTGCCTGGCCAGCTTGGCCCAGGACATGCCCCAGACGACCTGGCCATGGGGATCATGGACGTGGCATTTGATGTTGATGGTCCAGAGGGTGCTGGCATTGTTCTCACACAGGTTCTCGAGCAGCTCGTCAGAGATGCAGTTGTAGTTGAGGGTCAGGGACGCCAGGTTGCGGAACATGGCCATGGTCTTGTTGAACTGCGGGCTGCTGTAGACGGCCAGGTGGTGGCTAAAGTAATCCTCGAGGTTGAGCTCCGAGGCCAGGCTCTCGTTCCTCAGGTAGCTCAGGGAGCTGAGAATGTGGCAGCCTTGATCCACGGTCAGCCTGGCCCCTTTCAGGTTGAGATAATCCAGATGTTTGCCCACTTTCTTCAGGAAGAAGCTCAGGCTTTTGATGAAGGAGGTTCTGATGCTGTTCCTCCAGACCAGGCGGTCCAGCTCCAGGTGCTGTATGGAAAGGGACTTCAGCCGGTTGTTGCTCTTGCCCAGACATGAGAGGAGGCCGCGCATGGTAACCTGGAACTTCTTGGTCAAGACAGCATTGTAGGGATTCAGGAACTTGATCTCCAGGTGTTCTAGATAACGACCAAATTTCTTAACATACCAGAGCGCTGACTCAAATTCAGACGCATGTACCCTGGAAGGTCTCCCGCTGAAAGTGATGGTCCTGTACCGCCAGAGGTCAGCAGAATACATCATCTGGTTCCACTTTCTGCAGACCAGGGCTGCCCGGGACCTGTCCCTGTCTCCCAGCCACCAGAAAACACGACGCAGGCACACATCGGGCAGAGTGGCCCAGCAGCTCTGGTCTTGGGGCTGGTTGAGTTCTCTTTCTTCGTCCATCGAGGATCTGGGATGTACAGTACAGCCGTGTGGTAGGCAGGGCTTCCGAAAAAAGAGGGAAGGAGAGCGGTCACTTCTTTTCTGTGGGGAGTGAAAAGGAAGAGCCATTACCTGACAAACAGAAATTAGATTCAGCTGAACGTTCTCGTGGTCCTGGGTGTATTAGGCACTATGCTGGGAGCAGGCATTTCATTGATATATTTATGATTCAGCTAATACCCATGAGGATGTTACGGTCTTTGCAGAAAACAGACCAACACTCAGTAACAACACAGTGACAGGAGTGGAGAGGTGCAGGCTCACTCAGAGTATGGGGTAGCACCAACGGGGGTGATTCATTCTGCCTGGGGCAGGAGGGAACAGAGAGAGCTGCTCAGAAGAGGTGTGACATCTGAGCTGGGTTTTGAAGGATACGTAAGATTTTTTTTTTTTTTAATTTTCCAGAGGACACTTGTGTCCGTGGGATGGGGGTAGTGAGAAAGCACCTCCATGGGACATGGCCACACCACCATACCTTTTCTATTTCCTCTTTCAGGATTTTGGGCATACATGTATACATGTCCAGCATGTTTTTCAAGCTGCCAGATCCAGGATTTGAACCACATTCTTGGTCATATGGGATCCAATTGCCTTAACCACCATGCCACTAGCTGGCCCAGAATTTTTTAAATTATCAGCAAGCAAGTGCACTCATCAGAGACAGAGAGAGAGAGGGGGAAAAACATCCCCCAGCGGGGCACGATTGCACTGTAACCCCTTCTCCATTCTTCCATTCTATTGGGATTTGGGGCATGCACACACATGTGCCAAACATATTTTTCAAGCTGCAGAAGCCAGGATTTGACCCATGGTTGGCCACGTGGGATCTGGGTCCCTTGGCCACTAGGGGGCTGGTCCCAGGCTGGGGGAGGACTTCTAAGCAGACCAGGTTGGCCTCACAGTGGTAGTTGAAGAATGATGTGGTCGAGGAGGGAATGATCTGTGCAGAACTGCAAAACTTAGAGTGTACTTATGTGTCCACATTCAGGCCACCGAAAATTGTCTGCTTACCTGGAGCTTAACTGGTAAGTGGGTAGGAAGTGGAGCGACCGATCCAGTGGGGACAATGGGAGGTGATGAATTTGGGGGCCTTGAGTAATGTCCTCCAGGGATTCTCGGGTTCTCTCTCTCCAAGACTTTGGAATGTGGACATAGCTTGCCCCCTTCCCTGGATGAGAATCACCGTGTGAACGGAGCTACGTTGCTAATGGCTGTGTCTACATTCAGGAGATACGGAGACAGGCAAGGGGGGAGGGTCTCGGCTGAGGTCACAGAGAGCCATGGAAGGCTGAAGCCTCCTGTACCTGTAGAGACGTGGTCAGCCTTGAGGTAGAGAAAGAACTCTGGAGGAGTGGAGGAAGGACGGTCAACAGCAGAGTCCAGGCATTATGGTGGGCAATGAGAGTGGGTTTGAGTTATTTACTTTCTCTTTTATGATCGAGATAGAGAGAGGGCCCTCCACAGAGCCTTGTCACGCCCTGATCACCTAGCCCTAGCACTCCAGCTCAAGATCTTGGGTCCACACATGTGCCCAGACGGTTTTCCAGGCTGACCCAAGGATCTGAACCCACGGAGGGCCACATGGCTTCCAGCGCTGCAGTCTAGTAAGCTATGGGTTGCACCACCTGGCCGGGCTGCGTTTTTGAGTTCTTCCAAGGACATGATCTGGTAACTGATGAAGGCAGAGCTAGGAGGACTGTAAAGCTGTGGCGTTGGATCACAGGCGGTACACCCGAGTTGAGCTATAGAGTCCCAGGGGACAGCTGGGCTACGGCCTGCTTAATACAGGGAGCCATCTGTCAAAGCTTTTATAGCCATCTGCTGAAATTTGCATAATGTTTTGCTCTCAAAGTTTCCTATGCCTGAAAATCCCCATTTCTTTGCCTCTCCCCCTTCCTCAAAGTTCAAGCCCTATCACTCTATGAGGCTTTTATTGGCTACTTCACAAAAAAAGCCCAAGATTGTTGACCATGGCTCATAAAATCATAGGACTGGAGGCTAGCAGGTGGCATGGTGGTTAAGGACGCTGGACTCCCACGTGGCCAACTATGGTTCAAGCTCCAGACCTGGCAGCTTGCGCTCTCTCTCTCTCTCGATCTCTCTGGTCAAATTAAAAATAAATAAATAAAGTTAAATAAAATCATTTTAAAAAGAAAATAAAAGAAAAACCACAGGAATGGAAAGAAAATTGACGCTGGACTCCCACGTGGCCAACTATGGTTCAAGCTCCAGACCTGGCAGCTTGCGCTCTCTCTCTCTCTCGATCTCTCTGGTCAAATTAAAAATAAATAAATAAAGTTAAATAAAATCATTTTAAAAAGAAAATAAAAGAAAAACCACAGGAATGGAAAGAAAATTGATTTTTTTACGGGTAGTTGCTGAGGCCCAGAGAGCTGAAGAGATTGGTCACGCAGCACATCAGTAACAGGGCTCCTGACTAGAACCTGGGCTTTCTGACTCTTTCTTCTATACCTTCTTCCTCAGGTGTAGAAAAGGGCAAGTTATTATTTCTTAATTCAGGACAGGCATCATTTGTCAGCGCAAGGCCTCTCTCTGCTCTTATTTATTTGTTTATTTCCTTTTAACCCTCAGTCCCAGCCATAGCCCTCTCCCCACTATGCCAGCTATTCCAGGGTGTTTGATACACATCTTGCTGTTGGCGTGTGGCTTACCAGATGGGTATTCCATGTAGGATCCATGCTAGATAGACACCCAGGCGTCTATCGGCTAAACAGAGCCCCTAATGGGCACCCCACGTTCTCCCATCCTCTCTCCCGGTGACGGACCCCAGACCTCCTCCAGCTCCCACTGACATCACAGTGGCAAGGAGCTCTCTCAAGGCAGCGCCTGTGTGGCCTTCCGGGGGGCCTCATCCAGCCTGTGTTGCCACTACCCGATCACTTCCTGCCCTCTGAATAATGGAGTCTGTCTCCAGCTGGTCAACCCCACCCCACCATCACCAGCTCCAGACAGACTTCCAGAAGAGATTTAACAGCAGCCTGCCCCCACCCATGACACACAGAGAGGTGTTGGAAAGTTAATAAAATTTTCCAGAGAGATGGCCCATTAGGTAGGGAGGTGGGATTCGATCTCCAGGTGCTCCCCAGAACTGCTGCCTCCATATTCAGTGTGCCCCCTTCTCTAACCCTATCACCAGTTTCTGCCCTTTGTACAATATATGTCCTCCCCTGTCTCTCCCAAGGAACCTACCCACTCCTGAGGCAAAAGGCATGCTCATCTTCCGAGTGGGTACTTGAACATTTAGCAAATGAGGCCTCAGGAGGTCTCAGCACTTGTAAACTGCCCACGGCTCAGGGCTTTCTGCAGCACCCGGCCTGGATCCAGGTGCCCAGAAGGTGCTCTAGGAAACCGGACAACCCAAAAGCTGAATGGAACCCTTGCCCTAGCAAAGCCATGGGGCAGAAACATCAGACTGATGCTGCAGGGATGGGGTTGGGAGAGTTATGTTTGCTAGGAGCCCCGAAATCACATATAATTACGGGGAGCATCTCTTCCATGCTCCCTGCTTCTCCGACCCCCAGCTTGTCAGAGGTGCTGTAGTTCAGTGGACGGACCCTGGCTGTCACTCTGTCCTGTGACCTAGGCAAGTTACTTTCTTTGTGTCTCAGCCCGCACATGTGTAACAGCAGCTCCTCTTTTCTTGCATAGAGTGGATTAAACAGATACACAGAGAACTCCAGAACAGCTCCCGGCATGTAGGAAATGCTACGCAAGTGTTGGTTGCCAGGAGTAAGAAAGTTGGTGCCAAGGTACTTCCCCAACATCCCTGTCAGGAAGGTAATGAATGTATCCATTTTACACAGAGAGAAGTGTTGGAAAGTTAATAAAATTTTCCGGCGAGAAGGTCCATTAGGTGGGTAGGTGGGATTCGATCTCACGCTAGAACTCCCCATAATGGGCTTGCTCTATTGTACCACACAGCTGCTAACCAAAGAAGGAAACTAAGGATGTCCTATCACCCTGGGAAGGGAAGGTAGCCCAGAAACACCCTTAGCCAGACCGGAAGACTGTCTGCCCCGGCCCACGCTGGCCTGGGGGGGAGAGTCCCACGGTCCCTCCTGTTCTGCCATCCGGTGCTGCCTGCTGCCGGCATTTGCGGGTTTACCTGCTCGCTGCGCCCCGCTCCGGCTGCGCCCGGTGTGGGCTGCAGGGACGGCGAGCTCCTCCCGCCTGCTCCACCAGCGCCGCTGGGGCTGCAACGCCGACTCCGTGAGCGCCCAGGGTCGGGGCCTTGCTCGCACCCAGGCTAAAAGCCTTGCACCGCGCAGTCTTTGTGACGCGCCTCCGCCGCCTCCGGCTCTGCGCGTCCTCGCCGCCGCGGGGCGCCAAACCTAGATTTGCCCGACCAGTTGATGGTGTATATAGAGGGCAAGACTGGGGACCCGTGCAGTCTGTCCAAGGGGCGCGGCCCCTGCCCTCCCCTCGGCATGCAAGGAAGAGATTCTGCCCGGAGCTTGGGGCTCAGGTCCGCTCAGACTCCGCCTTTCCAGTCCTGACCCAGCCCGAGGTCCTGTGGAGACACTGGAGACCCAGCTTGTTGGGCGCACTGCTCACTCTGCCCTGGGACTCCATTTTCCTGTTCCTGGGCGAGGCTTCCCAGGGAAAGCTTTAAGCGAACGTGACTCACCTTTCCAGTTTGGGGGTGGTGGGGGGCACCTATCCCCTCATCGTCTACTCAGTGAGAACTAAGAGGACATCCAGACATAGCCAAGTTTATTGGCGTTAATTGATTAAGCCGGGGACTCTGTCTCTCAAAACCTGGCAGCTCGAGTGCAAGGTGAGGGGCGCTTATAAAGGCAAAAAAAATGCACAATCATGCCCGGGACAACGTGATGATTCAGCAGGGTAAGGTGCAGTGGGCTAGAATGGGGAAAAAGGGTAGAGGGTAGGGTTTTACAACCGAAAAGCAAAGCAAGCAACAGCATCAGGGATGCAGAAAAAAGCAGGTTAATCATCCCTAAGGGATGTCCCATCTCTACCCAAACACAATGGACTCTCAATAGTCTCCATGGCTCTGGGCAAGGTCCTGTGAGGCAACCAGGAGGAGAGGGGTTTTAAGGACAATAGGAAAGTTAATCACTCTATTTACTCAGGCAAAGAAAGAGAAGGCAAGTTTTTAGTTATAGGAATTAACAGTTCATAACAGAGGCGCTCCTCCAAGATGGAGTTGCTCCTGCTTCATTCCCCACTTCTCTGGGAGGCGTTCCTCCAAGATGGAGTCGTGCCTGCTTCACATCTTCCTTAGCCCTTCCCTTCCCGGGCAGGGCTGATGCCCTAACCAGCCTGCCTAAGCCCGGGCAGAAAGTGTGCACATGCATGCTCTCCATTATTTAAAAAAAAAGAATAATGGGAGCCGGAAGGTGGCATGGTGGTTAAGGGCACTAGACTTCCACATGGACAACCATGGTTCAAGTTCTGGACCTGGTGGCTTGCTTTTTCACTTTCCCTCTCTCTCTCTGTCTCTCACTCTACTCCCTTCTGTCAAGTTTAAAAGTAAGCAAATAAATAAATAAATAAAGTTAAATAAAATAATTATTAAAAAAAGAATAATGAGCCAGTCAGTAGTGAGGTGGTTAAGGCTACTGGGTCCCTGTGCACTTCATCCTTCCATCTTGGCTCCTGGCATCCCTAGCCCAGTTCGGGCTCGCCTGTGAGGGGGCCAGGCTGAATGTGGAGAAAGCAAATCTGGGAAGCATCCCACACGGGAACGTGCCTGGTTCAAGTCCAGAGACCTCCCGATTAGACCAGGCACAGACTTGTCCATGATCTGCAGCTGGCAGAAGGCGAGACGTGGACCGTGGGGTCAAGACCCTGTGAGGGTTGCTGTCTCTCTCTCTCTTTCTCTGTCTCTCTTTCTCAGGTAATAAATAAATAAACTTAAAAAAAAAAAAGAAAGAAAAAAAAAACAAAAAACAGAAAACCAACAATCCAAAGTAACAAACCAAAGGAAGACGAATAAGAGGCTTTCAGGGAAGGTGTTTTTATTCTTTGAGGAACAAGCCAGGTTCTCTACGGTGTCCCAGCTGTAGGGCCTAGATGCTTCTTCAGAATTCTCAGCCAGAACTGGAATCTTTTCTTTTTCTGGTTTATCCGAAGACCTTGGGCAAACCAATATCTCTGTTCAAAAGAAGGAAAATAGTTAGAAGTCCAAACTTTTTCTTCTAGAGCCCGAAGAATAAGACCCATGTCTTCTCACAAGTAAAGGCGGCCCAGAAAGGAGGCAGGAAAGCCAGCGTAAAAATGAAATCTAAATTGGTCGTACCTTTTCTCTTCCGTATCTAGCTGAGATTTTTCACTTGTTTAGCTCTCTCACACGCACGTGCTCTCTCTTTGATCAAATTAAAATAAATAAATAAAAGTTTAATAAAATGTTAAAAAAAAAAAAAGAGTGGGTGGGCCAGCCTGCATCTCTGGGCTTCCCTCCCTGCCAGGACTGTCAAAGCTGACCCTTTGCTTCACCTGGGCCTTGCCCACACCCCAGCCTCCTTTGTCCCCTGCTCTGTCCCTCTATTTCCTTTTCCCTGCCGCCCTTTCCCTGTGCACTTCATCCTTCCATCTTGGCTCCTGGCATCCCTAGCCCAGTTCGGGCTCGCCTGTGAGGGGGCCAGGCTGAATGTGGAGAAAGCAAATCTGGGAAGCATCCCACACGGGAACGTGCCTGGTTCAAGTCCAGAGACCTCCCGATTAGACCAGGCACAGACTTGTCCATGATCTGCAGCTGGCAGAAGGCGAGACGTGGACCGTGGGGTCAAGACCCTGTGAGGGTTGCTGTCTCTCTCTCTCTTTCTCTGTCTCTCTTTCTCAGGTAATAAATAAATAAACTTAAAAAAAAAAAAGAAAGAAAAAAAAAACAAAAAACAGAAAACCAACAATCCAAAGTAACAAACCAAAGGAAGACGAATAAGAGGCTTTCAGGGAAGGTGTTTTTATTCTTTGAGGAACAAGCCAGGTTCTCTACGGTGTCCCAGCTGTAGGGCCTAGATGCTTCTTCAGAATTCTCAGCCAGAACTGGAATCTTTTCTTTTTCTGGTTTATCCGAAGACCTTGGGCAAACCAATATCTCTGTTCAAAAGAAGGAAAATAGTTAGAAGTCCAAACTTTTTCTTCTAGAGCCCAAAGAATAAGACCCATCTCTTCTCACAAGTAAAGGCGGCACAGAAAGGAGGCAGGAAAGCCAGTGTAAAAATGAAATCTAAATTGGTCGTACCTTTTCTCTTCCGTATCTAGCTGAGATTTTTCACTTGTTTAGCTTTCGATGAAGCTAACCGCTGGCATTTCTCCTAAAGAAATGGATATTAAAGTTCAATATGCTTAAAGTGGGTGGGAAGAGCTAGTTCCTGTACTGTCTCTGCATACCACGTGTCCAAGCATAAGCCCTGAGCCACAGGTACCCAGAGACAGAGTGTGCTGGCCGCGGAGAGGCATGTAGCCCACAGGACCTGGAGGGACACAGGCGACGTGGAACAGTGTTCAACAGAGGCCTATCATCTCCAGGCGGCAGGGACGGATGAGAGAAGAGCCACGCTACGGACTTCTATGTGGCCATGTGAGGGAACATGAGGCCCGCCCAGCTGGTGCAAGGGTGGGGTGCTGCGGTGTGAGGCTGAGGCCTAGACTCCAGTTCCGGACCAACCTCAGTTGTCCAGGTGCACAGGGGCACAGCTGCCGTTCTAGCTAACTGGGAGACTGGGGCAGAAGGAGCTTCACATAGCAAGACCTTGCCAAACGCCGCAAACCAAAACGCCAACGCCCCTCTCCCAAAGGAAAAAAAGAAAAGAAGAAAGAAGAAGAAAAAAAGAAAAAGTCCATATTTTTGGACTTGGAAGGATTTATTTAGATATTGCTGAGTTATACCATGAAGATGTAAAGAAATGCATATAAACAGGCTCCAAGTGCGTGTGTTTGTGTACGGTTATATGCTAGACTTGCCAAGCAAAATACAGGCTGCCCGGTGAGCGTTTCATTTCACAGAAACAGAAACTTCGCACGGGATATACATATACGAAAAAATTTTTTTGTCATTCCGAAATTCAAATTTGACTGGTGTCTCGTATTTTTATATGTTAGATCTGGCAACTCTATTATACAAGGGTGAGGAAAAGTGTAGAAAGTGTGGTGGTTAAGGTGCTAGACTCCCTCATGGCTGACCACGGTTCAAGTCCTGGACCTGGCAGCTTGCTTTCTCACCCTCTCTCTCTCTGTTTCTCTCTGGTGAATTGAAAAATAAGAGTAAATACATTAAACACGTAATTTAAAAAAGAGACACACCAAGTTGAGGGAGGCAAGAGGAAATGGCACAGCAGCCCCCAGCAAGTGTGACATTAGCTCTTTTTTTTGAGAGATTTTCACTGTAGGGCACGTGCGCTCGCCAGACAGATGGAGAGAGACATAGAGACAGAAAGCGAGAAATCACCCCCTAGGGGGGATGGTCATGCCGCAATCCCTTCTCCTCCATTCTCCTCTCAGGATCTTGGGCACGCACGCACACGCGCCCGGCGTGAGTTTTAAGCCACCGGGTCCGGGACACGAACTGCGGTCGACCACGTGGGAGTCCAGCGACATAGCCATTACGCTAACTGCTGGTTCCCACATTAGCTCATTTTTGTGAAATGACTTGCTTATGTGCATGGCATATAGATGCGTAATTAAGTTAGAAGTAAAAAAGATTTAGACCTCCTGTTACGTAAGAAGAGTGCACCACACAGGAAGTGAACAAGGCAAATGGCAGAGTGTTGAGTACAGTGAGGGGGAATGGGGGGAAAGGAACAATTGGAGCCCTGCGCAAACACACTCAGGCTTGTGTGAGCAAAGATAAAGCTCTGAAAGGACGGTCACAGGGCTGTTGGAACTGGCATCTCAGGACATGGGACTGGGAGCATGGGGTGGGAGCCAGGGATAATTCATTTTCCTTTTTCTTTTTTTTTTTTTTGAGAGGATTTTTGCTATAGGCCACATGTACCCGCCAGAGAGATAGATAGACAAAAAGCAAGAAATTAACGCCCAGGAGGATGGCCACACCACAATCCCTTCTCTTCTCAGGATTTTGGGAACACGTGTATGCACCCAGCATGAGTTTCAAGGTGCCGGGTTTGGGACTCGAACTGCAGCCGAGTATGTAAGAGTCCAGCGATGTAACCATTACACTATCTGCTGGTCCTGATTAGCTTTGCTTTTTACACTTCTTTATGTGGCATGATGTCAACTTGTTACAACAAATTCTAACACTTTTGTACTTTTAAAAACATCCAATAAGCCCAGCTCCTGTGGCACCATGGTGATGCCGTGTCCTGCAAGGTTGGAAGCCATATGACTGACTGTAGGTTCAGATCCCTTGGTCAGCTGGAAAACGCACTGGGTGCACGTGAAAGCCCAGATCCTGAAGAGCTAAAGGGCTGGGGAAACGGGGATCCTGTTTGATGAGACTTTATTAATGGTACTGTTCTCTCTAGTTCTCTCTCTAGTGTGCACATGCATGCTCTTCATTATTAAAAAAAAAAAAAAAATCGAATAATGAGCCAGCCAGTGCTGTGGCGGTTAAGGCTACTGGATCTCACATAGCCAACTGTGTAGTTCGAGTCCTGGACCTGATGGCTTGAAAAACATGCTAGGTGTGTGTGCAGGCTACCCAAAGTCCTGAGAGGGGAACGGAGGATAATGGATTGCAGTGCTGCCATCCCCTCTGGGAGGTGATTTCTCATGTCCCTATATCTCTCTCTGTCATTCTCTGGAGAGCACACATGCCCGATAGCAAAACTAATTAACTAACTATCTAGGGACCCGCAGATGGTGTAGTGGTTACATTACTGGACTCCCACATGGCCAACTGTGGTTCAAGTCCTGGACCTAGTAGCTTGAATCTCATGCCGGGCGTGTGTGCGTGTAAGTGCCCAAGATCCCAGGAGGAGAATGGAGGAGAAGGGATTGTGGTGTGGACATCACCTTGAGGATAATTTCTTACTTTCCCTCTCATTGTCTCTGTCTCTCCTTGGTGAGAGCCTATGCCCTAAGGCAAAAACCTCTTAAAAAACAACAACAACAAAAAACCTTGGGGGCCAGTGGGTGACACGGTGGCTAAGGCGCTGGAATTCCCACATGGCCCACCACAGTTCAAGTCCCGGACCTGGCGGTTTGCTTTCTCTCTCTCTCTCTCTCTCTCTCTCTGTCTTTCTCTGGCAAAACTCATGTAAAAAAAAATAATAATTTTTAAAAATTCTTTTAAAAAATCTAAAATAATGAAAAATAAAATAATGAAAAAATTTAAACTAAGGCATCTAGTTCAGACCTTAAGAGCATAAGCTGGGGCTGGTAGGTGGCGTGGTGATTAAGGGCACTAGACTCTCATATGACTGACCGTAGTTTGCATCCCAGACCTGGCAGCTTGCTTTCTCACGTTCCCTCTCTCTCACTCTGTCCCTGTCTGGTCAAATTAAAATAAATAAATAAAGTTAAATAAGGTAATTCTTTAAAAAAAGAAAATAAAGAGCATAAGCTTTGGAGCTATATCCAGCTGGATTCCAGGCTGGATTTTGTCACTTCCCGATTGTACCGTCCTGGGGAAGCTACTCTACCTTCCTGGCCTATCCGCGTCTGTAAAGGGTGACAGACACCTGGCTGTTGTTTATAATGAAGATGAACCATTTGTAGAGAGTTTTGCATTGTAACTGGCACACAGTGATGAGCTGCCTCAAATGCTCATTATTACTACTACTAGAAAATATTCTGGGTTATAAAAACCAGGATATTGACTGGGGCCGGGCAATGTTCTGTAAACTGAGCCATGTCTGAAGTTCTCTGGGTTCACATCCAGAGACCTCTCTGAGTACACTGGGCACATGCATGCCCATGATTCAGGGCTGGCTGAGGCTGGGGGTGGATCATGGTGTCAATACCTTATTGGGAGTTCTCTTTCTCTCTGTCTCTCTCCTGGAGAAATAAATAAACTTAAAAAGCAACATCAAAACAAAACAGGATATTGAGGGAGATGATTGAGAACCCGGATCTTCCTGAAACCAGCTTTGATCTGGAGGCTAGCCACCAACAGATTTAGGATCCCGAGAAAGATACTTCTCATCTCTGGGCCTCAGTTGCCTTACGTATACCACGAGAGACACTGCTTCATTTGCTCAGCAGTTTTAGAGCACTTGCGGTCTGTCAGTTCCTGGGTTAGGAGCTGGAGACACACAGATCGGTCTGTACCTTCCATCTCTCTGGGAAGGCATGCACAGAGCCAGGTGGTAAATCTGAGGGACTGCAGTCAGGCATATAGAGAAAGGGGAGACACGGAACACACTGGGCACATGCATGCCCATGATTCAGGGCTGGCTGAGGCTGGGGGTGGATCATGGTGTCAATACCTTATTGGGAGTTCTCTTTCTCTCTGTCTCTCTCCTGGAGAAATAAATAAACTTAAAAAGCAACATCAAAACAAAACAGGATATTGAGGGAGATGATTGAGAACCCGGATCTTCCTGAAACCAGCTTTGATCTGGAGGCTAGCCACCAACAGATTTAGGATCCCGAGAAAGATACTTCTCATCTCTGGGCCTCAGTTGCCTTACGTATACCACGAGAGACACTGCTTCATTTGCTCAGCAGTTTTAGAGCACTTGCGGTCTGTCAGTTCCTGGGTTAGGAGCTGGAGACACACAGATCGGTCTGTACCTTCCATCTCTCTGGGAAGGCATGCACAGAGCCAGGTGGTAAATCTGAGGGACTGCAGTCAGGCATATAGAGAAAGGGGAGACACGGAACAGCCTTTCCAGCTACAACCTTTGCAAACACCCTACAGGTCTTGGATTTCTTTAAGACACTGTCTGGACGGTTCACAGGCAGGTGAGGGGAAAATAGAGGCTGGGTACCTGATGCTGAATGAGGGTTGGCAGGGGAAGCAGGATTCCACACTGGAAACATCCTCTCAGAATGTTATAAGCTGTCTCATCTTCTGTAGGAGAGCGGGCCCAGGGATTGAACTCAGACTTTGAAGGCAGATTCTTGGCTTTGTTTTTGCCTCTTGGTGCTTGCTTTGTTGAACTTTCATAAAGAAGAGGAAATCTGTTCATATTTTTTGTCTTCGGGCGGACATCCTTCTCTGCTGTGGAAGTCTGATTTTTAGCAGCCTGACTTGGGAAGGATGGTGAAGGTGTTTTTGGCTTTCCAGGTGGAAAATCATTCACAAACTCTGAGGTTGGACATTTCTTCTGCAGTTGCAACACAGGAAATTAAAAAAAAAAATGACTTCAGTTTTAATTGTAGAATAACACAGTAGAATAGATAACCCCGACACTTTTTACTACAAACATTTGTCATGATAAAATATAAGAAACATTTCCCTAAAGTTCATAGCTAACTTTGAAAGAAAGAAAGAAAATTCCACATTTCATAAATGAGAGCCTGACTGGTTGCTGTGGTTTGAATGTATTCCCTCCAAAATTTAGGTGTTGCCTGTGTATTCACGTATCAAGAGGTGATGTGTTAGGAGAGGATTAAGATTTGAGCACTCCTCCTTAGTTAATGGGAGTCAGGACTTTGTAAAAGAGGCTTCACACAGTATTCGGTTAACTTGTCCTTCTACTTGCTGCCATGTGAGGATGCAACGAGAAACCCTCACCAGATACGACATCAGCACCTTAATCTTTGACTTTCCAGCCTCCAGACTGTCAGAAGTACATTTGTGCTCTTTATAATTACTCAGTCTGTGGTTTTCTGTTATAGCAGCACAACTGGACCTAAACCTTGGTTAAACACATGAGCTGCCACTTGTGTTATGGGAGATGTGAGATCAATCTTGTCACGAAAGACTTGGGTGAGAAAGAATTCTCAGCTATGTAAGGTGGGGACTTGAAAGTAAGAGTCCCCTGTCACTGCTTAAAAATGAAGAACTTTAAAGGTTATATTATGGTGGCTTAGAATCAGCTAATTACAAAAAGCAAATAGTAAGGATGTTTTTCTACTTTAGGCTGGAATTTGAGTGTGGGGAAGAAAAACTCATGCACCTGAAAACTCAAAATCACTGGCTCATGCCATTCTTGTGTTTGGGGTTCAGATTTACATTAGCTTCATGGTCTGGGAATCCCCAGGCAGAAGAATTAAGATAAAAATTGAGCTATCTGGCAGAGATAATTGTAGAATTCTTCTGGAAGGTAGTCTCACAATAGATTATACAGGATTCTCACAGGTACAGTTCTACCAAATGCAAACTCATAATCCCAAATTATAAACACATGGGATGACTTCTTCACTACTGAAAAAACTAAGTCTGAAATCAGAAAAATTATGGAAACAAATGATAATGAGTACACAAGTGTCCATAATCTATGGGACAGGGCAAAAGCAGTCATTAAGAGGGAAATTCATAGCAATTAGTGTGCATAAGAAAAGGATGGAAAGATGGCAAGTAGGGACCAGCAGTTAGCGTAATGGCTATGTCTCTGGACTCCCATGTAGTCGACCACGGTTTGAGTCTCGGACCCGGTGGCTTAGAACTCACGCCAGGCGCGTGTGTGTGCGTGCCCAAGATCCCGAGAGGAGAATGGAGGAGGAGAAGGGATTGCAGCGTAGTCATCCCCCCTGGGGGGGGTGTGATTTCTCGCTTTCTGTCTCTCTGTCTCTCTGTCTCTGTCTTTCTGGCGAGCGCACGCACCCTATAGCAAAAAACCTCTCCAAAAAAAAAAAGAAAGATGGCAAATAGATAACCTAACATCATGCCTCAGGGAATTGGAAAAACAAAAGCAAACAAAATCCAAAAAATGCCAGGCGAAAAGAAATAATAAAGGTTCGAGCAGAAATAAATGAAATAGAAAATAAATGAATCATATAGAAAATAAATGAATCATATAGAAAATAAATGAAAGCAAAAGCTGGTTCTTTGAAAAGATTAACAAGATTGACACACCATTGACTAGACTGATCAAGAAGAAGAAAGAAAGAAACCAGATTACTCAAATATGTGATGAAACAGGCAATATGACAACAGACATGGTAGAAATACAAAATAACGTTAGAGGATACTACGAGCGACTATATGCCAACAAGATAACTTGGAGGGGATGGACAAATTCCTGGATGCATATAATCTACCAAGATTGGATCAGGAGGACATAGAGAACCTGAAAAGACCCATAACAAGCCAGGAGATTGAATCAGTAATAAATAACCTCCCGACAAAGAAAAGCCCGGGTCCAGATGGCTTCACTTCTGAATTCTACAAAACTCTTAAGGAAGAATTAACCCCTATCCTACTAAAATTATTTCTAAAGATTCAAAAGGAAGGAAGCCTTCCAAATTCATTTTATGAAGCCTCCATCATCCTCATCCCCAAAACAGATAAGG